TATTCCTTATGCTGCAGATGAGGGAATTGAGGCTCAGAGAAGTTGTTAGGCCTTAGTTAGAAAATATCAAAGCCAAAACCCATGGCTTTGAATCCTATTTAAAGTAGAGAGACAGGCTGGGGTTGGTGGCTCAGGCCTGGGGGGCCGAGGCAGGAAGATTGCTTGTGCCCAGGAGCTTGAGACCAGCCTGGGCAACACAGTGAGACCCTCGTCTCTATTTAAAACAAATAAATAAAGTAGAGAGATGAGGCATGCGAATGTCCAGGTGTGAGCACATCGTGAACATTCAATAAAGAGTAACCACTTAATCCAGGGGGTGAGGACTGTATCTTGTGCACCTGTTTTTCACTCTGCTTCCTAGACTGGATCCTGCCACCTGGTGAACTCTCAAAGTTATTGGTTGAATGGATTAATGAACATTCAGGTGGGAGTCAGAAGGTTAGTCTCTCTGCCTCTTGCAGTGTTCTTTCCATCAAAACTGTAACACCTCCTAATGCTATGGTATTTGCTATAATCATTCTCCTATAAGTCGTGCCGGGAGCTTATTTCCTCCTGAGTCAAGCTCATGCATGTAGGCAGAACCTGTACAAACACTATAACTGCTCTCTCCTTATAGCACCGCTCTAATGCATCTTTCCAGAGATGGCTCTGGGCACTCAGTCTCTTAGATGCTATTGTCATTATTGTCCTAAGTCTTTGGGTAGAGTCATCTCAGCTTCTCAGTCCTTTATTCTCAATTCTGAAATCCAGAAATCTTTGAAAATATTTCCCCCCTAACTCATTTTCAAAAATTTTGAACATTTCCCCCCACCAACTCATTTGGTGGTTAAAAAAAAGCAAACAAACAAAAAACAAAAACAAAAAAAACTGGCCTAAAATGAAGTAGGCCATTTACAGTATTTTTTTTTTTTTTGAGTTGGAGTCTCACTCTGTTGTCCAGACTGGAGTGCAGTGGCCGCTCCCAGCCACCACAGCCTTGACCTGCTGGGCTCCGGCGATCCTTCCGCCTCAGCCTTCCAAGTGGCTGGAACTACAGGCACGCACTACCATGCCCGGCTAATTTTTGATTTATCGTAGAGATGAGGTGTCGTCAAGTTGCCCATGCGGGTCTCGAACCCGCGGGCTCAGGCAATCCACTTATCTCAGCCTCCCAAAGTGCTGGGATTATAGGCTGAGCCACCGAGCCTGGCTCATTTACAGTATTTATTTCAAATATTTACATGTTTTTCTTGCAGACATGTTAATGTGTTTGATTGTTCAGATCAGTCCCACCCCTTGCTGTGTCATTTAATATATGGTATAAGCACAGCACTACTCTTCAAAAATCTAAAAATAAAAAGCTGAATTCCACAATTCAACTGGCCTCAAAGGATTTGATTAAGAGTTTGTGGACTGGTTTAATGTCATCTGATAATTCATATGGTTTCCTATTATAATTCAGGTAAAATGGGGGGAAGGAAATAGCATTGTGGAAGTAGGCAGATCTAAAAAGAAAACTGAGACCTTTTCTACCTCATCATTTGTTTGCTTTGGAATTATTTAAGGGAGAATCTCCTTAACTAAATGGTAAGTTTTTTTAAAATGTGGGGATCATGTTTTATATTTCTCCACAAAGCTGTATATATGGTTGGTACTCAGTAAATATTTGTTGGTTGATTTGAAAACATTTGTTCAACACTCTAGAATTTTATTTGACAATTACAAGAGTTAGATTTTATTTTTATTTATTTATTTATAGTTTTTAGAAAGCAGGAATTATAGAGAGGACAGAGAAGCTCCCACAGTGGGAGGGGACCCGAAAGGGTTGCCCCGATTTTATTTTTAAAATGTCATGTTTATAATTGTAAAGCTGTAGAGTCAATGCAGGTCTGTCCCAAAGTAGGGTATTTGGTCATCCACTCAACACGTGTTTTTTGAGTGCCTACTATTGCTAGATTCCTATTAGGCATTGGATTGTAGTGGTAAATAAGATGGTCAGGGCCCCTGCCCTCAAGGACTCTAGTTTGGTGGTGAAGAGAGGCATTGAGCAAATGACAAATACATTAGTACTCATTGTTATAAGTGCCATGAGGGAAACGGACTGGATGCTGAACAGAGTGTAATGGGGAAACCTAGTAGTAGTTAGCAAGGTCACTGAAGAGCTCTCAGATTTGTGACATGAAATACCTTACTTCTTCCCTCTATTTCTAAATATTATAGTGATTTGGGTGGCCAAACAAGAGAGGTTTAGATGGGGAAATTTACCCTCTTGTGCACTAATCTTGTCTCTGATGTCATATCATTATAATTACAATTCAAAGTTATTGATGGTATGAGTAAACAGCCTTTGCATGAACTCAGGTCTCTAAAACACATAATAAACCAACATATAACTGACAACTAACACCATTTAATTGAGCTCCTTGTTAATCTGAAAAGACATCAATAGTAGAATGGTGTGTTATATATTCTATGTTCATGTCACAAAGTTCAAGTTATTGTACTTTAGTAAGTGATATTAATTCATTTATCCAGACTTTTTTCTTTGTGGTTTTTCTAATGATTGGAAGTGTATTTAATTTTGTTATGATGTTAAGTACATTCATTTTAAACTACATTGGATTAGAAGGCTATTATTTTGATATTTTCCTGGAGCAGAAAATTCATTTAAGAAAACATTAAAAATCTTTTTTTTTTTTTTTTGATTTGGAGTCTCACTCTGTTACCCAGACTGGAGTGCAGTGGCCACTCCCGGTCACTGCAGCCTTGACATGCTGGGCTCCGGCGATCCTTCCGCCTCAGCCTTCCAAGCAGCTGGAACTACAGGCACGCACTACCATGCCTGGCTAATATTTGATTTATTGTAGAGATGAGGTCTTGCAAAGTTGCCCAGGCAGGTCTCGAACCCGAGGGCTCAGGAAAAATCTTTTTTAAAATGCAGGTTAAAGAATATAGGAAATCCTAAAAATCAGACTGCGCCTCCAAATATAGTGGCTATCCGAGAAGGAAAAAAGTATTTTAAAATGTTTTTTGTTATAGACAGACTCTCACTATGTTGCTCAGGCTGCTCTTGAACTCCTGGCCTCAAGCAATCCTTCTGCCTCAGTCTCCTGAGTCTTTGGGATTACAGGTGTGAATCAGCATGCCTGACTAAAAGATTTTAACACTTGTTGTTAAATTTCAGTAAGTTATGATTCTAATGGATTTTTTAAAAATAGACTTGTAAGGAAACAAATCAATATTTATTGCTCTAAGGCAATGTCACAGTGCATCTCTGCACTGAGTGAGTTTGGTAGAGAAAAAAAGGACAATAGGAAAAGAAAACTCTCATGATTGAAAATTTTAATAGCTTATTGAAACATTATAAATCAGATTTTTGCTGCAGGAAGGAGTTAGATATAAGTGTCTGTATTTCAATTATCATAATATTATAAGAAAGAGATTGGCAGTAGAGGGAAACTGCCAGGGGAGGAGATGTGAGATTGGCAATTGAGGGAAACTGCCAGGGGAGGGAGGGGCACACCTCATCAACAAGGGTACCTGCATAATGAATATTTGCATACCTAACCCTGAATTGTACCCCACATCTTTAAAATAAAAAAATTAAATTAGATTAAAAATAAATAAATTTTTTTAAAAAGTGTATTTGAAGTGCAAACAAAAGAAATCAGAAAGCTGTAGAATTATAACTTCTCTTTTTCTTCCTAGGGTTAATTATAGTCTCTTTCTGATAAATCTTAATTAAGCCAATACATTTTCTGTCTTACTTATTTAAGAGTACATTGTATTTTTTACCAAAAAAGGTTAATTATCTCCTCTTATTTTTTTAAGAAGTGATAGTTCATTTAGAATGCTTCTGAAAATTTATGTCTTCCTGTAATATACACAAAAATTAATCAAGTCTGAGCTAGTTAGCTGAGAAGGTCAAGGAGGGGAAACAAAACTAAAAATAACAAACACATTTGTTATGGATTTTAACTTTTTTGTTTTCTTTTGTATATCTGCAGTTATTCTAGTAAAACCTGGTTATGGTTTATCTAGCCTTCATTGGGTCTGGATGCTCATCAGGGCTTGAAATCAATTGGTGGCCATCAGTGGTGAATCACTAGGGAAGTTGCAAACTAACTCACCCACCTTAATAAAAAGTAATGAGAAAGAGAAAGGGGATAGTTTCATATAAACTGTGAATTGATAATTCACAAGCATCATGTAAATATTCAGACCTGTATACCCCTTTTAAGTTTTAATGTATTTTTTGTATCAACCTAAATGGCCACTCTTTGTGTATACTTGTTTTGAGATCTGACAGACACATGTTGGTCACTCCAGGTATTAGAGATATTCTTATAAGATTTGAATCTTACTATTAACACTGTCTAATCCTAAACTCGTACTTTTTTTGAATGCAATTAGAGTAAATTTAACTCAAGAGAGTAATTCCATCGAGTTTATAAGTCTTGTTTGGACTAAAATAGTGGTTTTAAGGTACCATGAGTTAGCTGTAGAGTCCACTGAAGTGCAACTATTTGTCTTCATAGATAGACTCTCCTTTTAGAAAGCAGACCATGTTTAGAACTGATTCTAATGACTTGGGAGTTCTAAAAAGAATATAATCATATGGTCATCTGGTGGTTCTGAGATTCAGTTTTTACTCCCATTTTAATTCCTTTCAGGACATGTTATTTTTAGATATGACAATATATATCTAAGAGATGTCAGAGTACAAGTTCCATTTTCCACACTAACTTGTCCACTGTCCCTGTAATGCTTTATGGTAATTATATTTCTGGCAAAAGAAATTGAATGATATTTTCTGCAGGAACTTTTTGGACTAGAAAGACCACTTATATTTCTTTAAATAATATGGCCAATTTTTTATGAGGATTTTTCTGTACCCATCCTAGGAACATTTTAGCTGATTTAAGTGAGGGGCTGATTTAGATTTTTCTAGACCTAGATTTTTCAGACTGACTTGGTTTTCTACAGACATTCAGAAAAATGTTTAACTTACAAATTTTTTGCTTTCCTTGCAGGAAAGTGATACTTTATCACCGTGGAGATTAATCATTTGTATATGGGAGCAGCAGAACTGGGGACCAATTACCTGTCAAGAGTTTTATAAACCAATCACAAAATTGCCATTACATTGCTCTCATCCTCCACTTCGCGGTCAAACTTGTCTTACCGATGGCATTCAGGAGGCAAGTGAAAAACTTTGTGAAAAATTACTCAGATGCTGAAATAAAAGTCAGGGAAGCAACTTCTAACGACCCTTGGGGTCCCTCTAGTTCTTTGATGTTAGATATCAGTGACTTGACTTTCAACACAATTTCCCTCTCAGAGATTATGAATATGCTATGGCAGAGACTCAGTGACCATGGAAAGAACTGGCGCCATGTTTATAAATCCCTTACACTAATGGATTATCTCATCAAGAATGGATCAAAGAAAGTTATTCAGCATTGCAGAGAGGGGTTTTGCAACCTTTACACACTAAAAGATTTTCAACACATAGATGAAGCTGGAAAAGATCAAGGTAACTGGGTTCAGTGGCATGAATGTATAATTCCAGCCACTTGGGAGGCTGAGGTGGGAAGATTGCTTGACCTAGGAGTTCAAGGCTGTAGTTTGCGGTGATTGCACCTGTGAATAGCCACTGTGCTCTAGCATGGGCATCATAGCAAGACCTCATCTCTCATGTCTATTTTTTTTTTAACTGGATAAAGATCTAACCAAGAAAGAGAACTACAGGTCAATAAATTTTTAAAAAGTTTATACAGTGTGCCAATAAAGATTAGGAGTTTGGGGGAGGGGAGATCATTTAAAACCAGGAACTGGGGAAGAGTTGTTCTTAAAATGTATTAGTCATCTTTTCTCTGGGACAGTTATAATTTCCAGTTTAATTCTCTATGTTAAAACTTCAGTGCCTTAGAGAACAGTATTTTTTTCCAAAAGGATGTGTAAAACTAACACACTTAGGTTCTTAATAAAATGATACCTCATAGAAAACAAATAAAGTGAATAAAACAGGAGGCATGGCAATTTGGCATAATAATGTCACTGTAATTTATAATTATAATTAACCTAGAACTTAGTCATAAGCTAAGGAAGTGCTTCCAAAGACTATGGAATCTTCAAGCACTATCTAGATGGAAGTATATGAATACAAGAATTTAGGTCATAAAGTAATTCTTTTTGGAGTGGAAGAGGAGATGAAGTAGAGAAAGGATGTGTAGAATTCTGAGATGATTCAGGAGTGCCTGATATCCTACAATGGTAAGAGGATCAGCCTTTTCTCTCCAGCTACTGTGAAATTATAATTTGTGTTTAAAGTGAATAGTTATAAATCATGAGAAGGAAGATAAAACTCAGTGCAGTCTCTCTGTTAAGCATGCATTTTTAAAATAGAACTTTTTAAAAAGGGTAGTTTTAGGTTTACAGAAAAATTATGCAGAAAGTATAGAGTTCCTACATACCCCTTCCCACCCACACATTTTGTCTCCTATTAACAACTCTTGCATTAGTGTGGTACATTTGTTACAATTGAACAAATATTGACATATTACTATTAACTAAAGTTTCTGTTTTACATTAGGATTCATTCTTTGTGTTGTATAGTTCTATGGGTTTTAAAAAAGGTATAGTCATGTGTCCATCATTCCAGTATCACACAGAATAGTTTCATTGCCCTAAAAATGCCCTGTGCTCCACCTGTTCATTCTTTTTCTCCTCCCTTTGAATCCCAGGAAACCACTGGTCTTTTTAGTGTGTCTATAATTTTGCCTTTTCCAGATGTCATAAAGTTGGAATCATAAAGTGTGTAGCTTTTTCAGACTGGTTTCTTTCACTTAGCAATATGCATTTAAGATTCCTCCATGTCTTTTCATAGCTCGAGAGCTCATTTCTTTTTTTTCTTCACTTTTTAAAAAACAGTTTTATTGAAATATAATTCACATACCATACAATTCACTCAAAGTGTACAATTATATGGTTTTTGATATATTACATTATACTTTTAAAAAATTGTGACAATATGTATTACATAAAATTTGCCTAAGTGTACAATTCATTAGCATTAAGTACATTCTCAATGTTGTGCAACCATTACTAATATCTATTTCCAAAACTTTTTCTTCACCCCAAACAGAAACTCTATAACCATTAAACAGCTACCCATTCCCACTCGACCAGACCCCTAATCTACTTTCTATCTCTAAATTTGCTTGTTCTAGGTACCTCATGTAAATGGAATCACACAGTATTTGTTATTTTGCATCTGGCTTATTTTACTTTCCCTAATGGCTTCAAGGTTTATCCATATTGTCAGATGTATCAGAACTTTATTCCTTTCATGGCTGAATAAATTTTATTGTATTCACATTTTTAAACATTTATTCATCTGTTGATGGACTCTTGGGCTGTTTCTATTTTAGCTATTGTGAATAGTGCTCTGATAAACACGGGAATACACGTATTATTTCAAGTCCTGACTTTCAGTTTATTTGGGTATATACTTAGGAGTGGAATTGTTGGATCATATGGTAATTCAGTGTTTAGTTTTATGAGGATCTCTAAACTTTTTCACAGTGGCTACACCACTTTACATTCCCACCAGCCATATAACAGAGTTCCAATTTTTCTATATCCTTGTCAACACTTGTTATTATCTTTTTTGTTGTTGTTGATTATAGCTATCCTACTGATTGTGGTTTTGATTTACATTTCCCTAAAGACTAATGATATTGAAAATATTTTCATCTCTTCACTGACAATTTGTATGTTGTCTTGAAGAAATGTCTATTCAAATCCTTTGCCGATTATTATTATTTTTATTATTTTTGAGTTGGAGTCTCACTTTGTCACCCAGACTGGAGTGCAGTGACTGCTCCCGGCCACCGCAGCCTTGACCTGCTGGGCTCCGGCAATCCTTCTGCCTCAGCCTTCCAAGTAGCTGGAACTATAGGCACACGCTACTACGCCTGGCTAATTTTTGATTTATTGTAGAGATGAGGTCTCGCCAAGTTTCCCAGGTGGGTCTCGAACCCACGGGCTCAGGCAATCCACTCACCTCGGCCTCCCAAAGCGCTGGGATTACAGACTGAGCCACCGAGCCCGGCCCCTTTGCCGATTATTAACAGGTTTTTTACTTTATTGTTGAGTTTTAAAAGTTCTTTATGTATCCTGAACACAAGACCTTTATCAGAAAGATGATTTGCAAGTATCTTCTTCCATTCTCTAGATTCTTTTTTACTTCCTTCGAGATGTCCATAGATGCGCCAAAGTTTTAAATTTTGATGAAGTATAATTTATTTTTTCCTTGATTACTTATGCTTTAGATGTCATATATAAGAAACCATTGTCAAATCCAAGTTCATGAAGATTTATATCTGTCTTTTATTCTAAGAGTTGTATGGTTTTAGGTCTTAACATTTTAGATCTTGGATCCATTTTGAGTTCTTTTGTATACATGGTGTGAGGTCCAACTTCATTCTTTTGCATGTGGATATGCAGTTATCCTGTTACTGTTTGTTGAGAAGACAGTTTATCCTCATTAAGTTATATTTGCACCCTTGTAAAAATCAATCAACCATAGATCTGTGGGTTTATTTCTGTACTCTCAATTGTTTCATTGAGCTATATATATCAATTCTTATGCCAGTACCACATTATTTTGATTACTATGGCTTTGTAGTAAGTTTTGAAATCAAGAAGTATGGGTTCTCCACCTTTGTTCTTTCTCAATTCTGTTTTGGCTATTCTTGGTCCCTTACACTTCCATGTGAAGTTTAGCATCAGCCTGTCAATTATCTGTTAAGAAGGCAGCAGCTAGGGTTGAGTGTGGTGACTCATACCTGTAATCCCAGCACTCTGGGAGGCTGAGGTGGGAGAATTGCTTGAGCCCAGGAGTTTGAGATTAGCCTAGGCAACGTAGCAAGACCTTGTCTCTACAAAAAATGCAAAAATTAGCCAGGTGTGGGTAGCATGTGCCTACAATCCCAGCTATTTGGGAAGCTGAGGTGGGAGGCTCACCTAAGCTCAAGAACTTGAGATTGTAGTGAGCCAGGATTGTGCCAACCTGGGTAATAGAGTGAGACCCTGTCTCAAAAAAAAAAAGGAGAAGAAGGCAGTGAGATTGCATTGAATCTTGATTCAGTTGACCAATTTGGAGAATATTATCATTTTAATAATACCAATTTCTCCAATCCATAAACACAGGGTGTCTTTTTACTTAGATCTTTTAAAATTTCTTCAATAGTGCTGTGTAGCTTTTAGTGTAAAGTCTTGCAATTCTTAAAGTTATTTTTAAGTTTTTTTTTTTGATGCTATAGTAAATTGAGTTGTTTTTTAAATTGAGTTTTCAGATTGTTTATTGCTGGTAGATGGAAATATAACTGGTCAACTGATTTTGCTACTTTGCTGAACTACCTTCTTAGATGTAATAGTTTTTTATTTTGTAGATTCCTTGGGATTTACTATATACTAGATCATGTCATGTACAAATAGAGTTTTGCTTTTTCTTGTCTAATCTGGATGCCTTCTATTTCTATTTCTTGCCTAATTGTCCTGGCTAGAAGTATGAGAGTAGATATCCTAGCTTGTTCCTACTTTCAAGAGGAAAACTTTCAGTTACTAAGTATGTTACCTGTGAATTTTTCATTGATGCTCTTTATCAGGTTGAGGAAATTATCTTCTATTCCTAGTTTGTTGAGTGTTTTTAATCATGAAAGGATGTTGATTTTTTTATGCTCTGTTGTCCAGGCTATAGTGCAGTGGCATGATCATAGCTCACTGCAACCTTGAACTCCTGGGCTCAAGTGAGCCTCCCACTTCTGTCTCTTGAATAGCTAGGACTGCAGGTGTGCGCCACCTTGCCCAGCTAATTTATTTTTATTTTGTAGAGATGGGGTCTCATTATGTTGTCCAGGCTGGGATGTTGAGTTTTGTCAAATGCTTCTTCTGCATCTATTGAGATGATCATGTGGGTTTTAGAAATCTCTCTTAGTTTATGTAATATGATTTATTACATTGATTGATTTTTCACATGTGAACCAACCTTGCATTCCTAGCATAAATCCCACCTGGTCATGGTATGTATCCTATTTTTTAAGTGTTTATTTTAGGTCAGATTTGAAGCTTAATGATGAAATTGGAAAAATCTTTATGAGTTTTGATCATGCTGTACTGCTTAACCCAGAAATTGTAAAGGCATCAACTTCCATGAGGATTAAATTTATTAAAAATTAAAATAAAATACTCATTAAAAATTTGCCTCCCCAAGTGTTAGGTTAAAAAGTCACATTTTTTTTCTTATAATTTACAGAGCAGCTATTTTATCACTATACTGTACTATAAATTATGATGATTTTATAAAGTGGAGAGGATAGCCTCCTGCCCTAAAGAGCTCTTATGAGCTATTTTTTGAAAGAAAATAGATAAGGATAAAATTATAAATATACAGACAAACCTATTTATGCATTTATACCTTTTATATGTACAAGTTTTGGTATGTTTGGATATGTTTAAATTGACTACCAT